CTAGGGTTGTGTGAGTAACCCAATTTATCATTTGACGAAAAGTAATGAAAAAATGCAGGGCTGATATAATGAAAATATATATTATTTCTATAATTCAAATGGTCCGCTTCCAACCAAGAAGAAATCTGTTTTATTTTTAGTTTCAGCATTTTAAAAATTTATTGTTATCATCAGCATGTCGATTTTAGCTCCATTTTAGAAAATATAAAGTAACAACTTCAACATCAAAGACTTTAAGTGACACATTTAAAGAGGATATATGTATATTAGCTTGCATAGTGTGTAACTGTAAATGTTGTTGGGCTGTAAAGTAGACATGATTGTCGTAGTTTGTTCACGCCGAGAGACCACACAACCAAATTTGATGTTGGTGGCGTGCAAATGAATGAGCGCCCCCTTTACCGCGAGAGACGACTTGAATTCAAATGATTTAGAGGACATAATGGTGTGTTATTTTACTTGGTATACCGCGAGAAATGTCTTGAATTCAAATTATCTAGAGGCCATAACGGTGTTCTGTTTGGAATTGCATTTTCATTCATATCATATTAACAGTCTTATCAGCAGATAACGCTAGAGGCGATTTTGTTTGAATAAACCTTGTTCGAAAAAATATCCTCGAGGAAGGTGGATTTAGTGCATTGCTCAATATTATTATGATTATTTTATCAGAAGCCCTTCCTCCCAAAGAGCGTGGGATGAAAGTGTTATCTTCATGTTTTTAATCAAACAAGAGATTCATGATGTAATTACGGGAATACGTGTCTGAATCTAATTATTACCTCGTGCAGGTAAAATTGCCCAGTAGCTTGGAAAGAACTCATTTATCAGTGGGAAATTAGTGATACCGGTAGATTGTATAGGAGGGTATTCCTGTCCTGACAAACGGTTGAGCAGTGCTACCCTCTACCAGGGTGGCAGATATTTATAGGCACATTTTCAAAAAGCTCGAGAATCAAATGACCGTCTATTTATCTAAAGTCAGTGTCTTTGAAAATCTGTGAATATCTTGTGAAAAATCAAGCTGTCGCCCTGGTAGAGGGTAGGTTTTAGGAATAATTTCACTATATCTATACATAAGCGTTAAAATTGGATTCACTGGTCAGCCTCGGGGAAGTCGCCACAGTGTTTACAGGTGACTGCCTAAGGACTACCGGTAGCTTACCCTATCACCCCCACCCCCACCCCACAACAGCGGTTTGAGCCTGCTGCTAGGATTATTTCAAGCAAATGAAAAAATATAAATCTGATTGGTAAGGTTAATGTATATTTATGACTATAGGACTATTTCCCATCGCATGACAAGCAGTCATTTTAATAGCACCCTACACGGAAGGCCGTGCATATTGAATGTTTTTCTATACCAACTTGACAGATAAATGACACTTTTGACTAGCTCGGTATAAACTGACTCATGTGACACTTTTGGCAATTAGTTATATTTCAGTGACACTTCATCTGTGCCACCTTTTACTTGTCTGTGTCAAAAATTAAGTAACGAGATAGATTTTCCCTTATTTTAGGTAGATCTCTTTGAATAATACTAGGGCGAAGTGATACGAACTCACATATAACAGTGGGCATCTAAACATCTAGACATCTTTAACATGATCAGATTCTACACATTTTACACAACATTGAAATATTATGATGGGCATGTTCATAAATGTAATTATAAATTTTCTATGGTGTGAGGGGAGGAACATGTTGTATTCTAAGTGTTGTGCCGTTGTATGTGGAACGATGGGGAAAAATAAGGTTCTGAGTCCATAACGTGCTGCGATGCAGTAAAGATAGAGATCGAGTATCGTACAGATGCGTGGGTCAGATTTGAAGCAATCATGGCTGTGGATCATTATCCTGTAGATAAAGTCTAGTACGGAAGCACTGGAAATCTGATTTTTTTTTTACGAAGAATAAGGGTTCGTTTCCAATGAACTATCGGTCTTACGAAGATCGATCAAACTCCGCTGGGACTAGCTGAATGCGATCAGTTTGGCAGATTTACACACGCGTCTTGTTTCCAACATAGGCCTACTCGTTTATTCACCAGCTTTTCTACATTCTGTTCAACGCCGGGGGGGGGGGGGGGGGGGGGGGGGGGGG